GTAATCTATGCCTTCCCCAACTTAGTCAGTAAAGAAATTTGAACTACTTTAGAAACTGAAACTTATCACAATAAAAAATTTGTAATTATTTTATTCTTAAAAGAAAATCGAGTAAGGGTTAATAATTCTCTTTTTTACCAATAAGTTTGATAATTTCTCGGGCTAATTCCTTAGCTTTATTTTCTAGTTGTCAAAAATCTCCTTTCCAATTATTTCTGTCTCCTCTTATTTCAATAGCCGAAGGGGCTTCGTGGTCGCTAAATCGCACGGTGAAATCTATCTGTCCTTCTCTTTGAATATGGATATAAGTTGAGCCACTCGGATTAACTTTGTCAAAACAATTATAACCAGCTTTTCTTATCTCTTGCTTAAATTTTCTAATTCCTTTATTTCTCCTTTGGTCTCTCTCTTGTTGTCTTTCTCATTCTTTATCTTGCCGAGCCAAATAAGCGGGGTCTTTTTTCTTTTCTTCCTTTTGGCAAGATTGACAAATTCTACTTTCCGAACTAGTTTTTGTCTCGCAAGGTCTTTTTCCCAATGCGGTTAATAAAACATTTGAACATTATGTCTTCTTCAATAACTTTTACTTTTCCTTCACACTTTTTACTGCTTTTTGTTTAAATATTCCTCTCTCTCTCTCTCTCTCTTGGTCTTTATTTAATTCTAGTTTTTGGGAAACTTTGCTTTCTTTGGCTTTTATTCACCTTTTTTTATTATAATCAGGGTCTTCCAATATTTTTTTTCAGTAATAGAGTTTTTGATACTTTTTATAATATTTCTGATATTGTTGGTAATTACTAGTCATTGATAATAATAATTTTAACTTTTAAACAAAAATAGAAGAATGAAATTTTTAAAACTGCAAAATATATAATATGGTGAAAGTAAATGATTAAATAAGGTGTTGAATTAAATAAAAAATATAAATTGTATAAATAAAGTTAATGGTAAATAAAGAAAATATTAAATGCATTAGTTGCAAAAACGAAGTCCCGGTAGGGAAATATTACAAATTTTATGAAGGAAAACCTGGCTATGGTTATAAGGGGGATTGTTGTTCTTCTTGTTGAATCAAAGAACAAGTTAAATATGAAACATTAATTAAGAAAGGATTGTTAAAAGTGGAAGAAGCAGAGAGAGAGAGAGAGAGAGCAAAATCTTTGCTTACAGTGCCAAAAATCCTCAATTAGCAAGCAATGAGTTCATTTTTGCGGACAAAATTGTGCCGATTACTGATTAAGTGAGAATACTTACCACATTCATAATATTAATGTGATGGGGAGTGGTAGCAGTGATAGTGGTGGTTTTTGTAAAAAATGTCAGAAAAAAGTTTCTAATAATCGGGATAGTAGGATTGAATTTAGCGATGTTTTAAAATTTGTCGAACATGTTAAAAATTGTTCCGGTAAATCTCAAAATAAAAATGATAAGGGATGATCGCCAAATTGACTAAACAATTGTGCTTTGTGCGAAAAAGAATATAAAGAAGCCCAAGAAAAAGTTCAAGCCGAACCAAATAGGTATGAATTAAAAGAAAAAAACGGGTGTTGTTGTAGTCATAGGGATAATTTACTTTCTCCTTGTAATCGATGGAAAAGCAAATATATTAATGAAAATGGCAAAGAGGTAGATGAAAAAGGTCAAACTCATGACCAAGTTTGCCGATGTTCGAGAAGTCGGGGAGGAATTGTTCTTCCTTACTCACTTTATGATGAGTTTTTAAAGGTTAAATTAGGTCAAGTTTGCCCAAGATGTCAGGAAGTCATTGATGAGGAGTTAGAAAATTGAGAGGTGAAAGCCAAAGAATATGTTAAAAAAAGATGTTTTGAATGAGGACACGGGCAGTATGGAAATACAAAAGGAAATGAACTTTATAATCGAAGTAGAACAATGCTTGGTAAGTGTTGTGGTAATAAATACCTTGAAAAAAATTATTATGGAGATGTTGAACCATGTGGAAGATGTGGGCAAAATAATAATAACCGACCTAATTCCCAAACACCTCAGCCCAATCAATCAATCTACTTACCAACTCTCCAAAACATTCAACAATACTTCATCGCCAACAACATCCACTCTATCACTAACCAAAACGGCAATTTAGTCATAATTTTTAATTATTAGTTGACTGCTGTTGTTGATTTTGATATTGTTGTTGCTGTGATTTGATGAATTTGACTGTTGCATTTGCTCCAATTCCCAACGAAGTTCGGCTATTCTTTCGCATTTACGATAAATTTCTTGGATGTGTACCATGCTAATTTATTATCCGTTATAGAAAAGTAGATAGTAATTCCGATAGTGAACTTATTTATAGTTTTAAGCCTAAAAATTTTTGCAATATGGCAATAGAGAATAAATAAAACTTGGAAATGAAAACATAACCCTAAAATTAAAGTATAATATATATCGCGGGGTAGAGTAGTGGTTTAACTCGTTGGGCTCATAATCCAAAGACCGGAGGTTCAAATCCTTCCCCCGCTACCAATACAATTATTATATAATGCATGAATGAAAAAGTAAGATATTGTCCTAATTGTCGCTTACCAATGAGAAAAATGAGCGAAACATTTTTTGACTGCCCAAGTTGTGGTTATGAACAGTACTAATAAATCTTAACAATTCGCCCAGATAGCCCAATGGTAGCAGGCAACGGATTCAAGACCCGTCAAGTGTCGGTTCGAGTCCGACTCTGGGTACCAAAATTCACCAATTGAAAAGTAATGAAAAAATTTAAACCAAAAATTAGCGAAAAAGGAACCAAAACATTTTTTACTCAAAATTCTAAGGGTGTCAAAATATTTCTAAAACCGAGTATGAGTTGGCAAACTTAATATGAAATTCCACTAAGTATATTGATAAATTATAAGCAAGATTAAAAAATAAGTGCTGAGAATCGTTATTTGTTATAGAAATTAATAAATACTAATCAAGTAATTTCAAAATACTGAGAAACTTATTATCGGTACAAAACTTGTGAAATTCCTCATTTTTTTTCCACTTTTCTCAAGCAAAGTCACAATTTTTAATTTTATCGGTTGGCAGGACAATTTTTTTTTCTAAACTAATAATTTTTTTATTGAGATAAACTATTTCTTCCTTACCTTCTAATAATTTTTTGGAGTTTTCTGGCACATTATCTATTTGTTGATAGATATTTTCTACCGTGCCAAATTGTTGAATTAGATTTTTGGCACTGACTGGTCCAATGCCTTTTATCCCTTCAATATTGTCAACATTGTCTCCTAATAAGCTTAAATAATCAATATAACTACTTGGGGGAAAACCATATTCTTGACGGAAATTCTCCTGAGTATAAAGAGTAATTTTGCTGTCAATATATTTTAAAATATTCACTTCCTCATTAATTAATTGCAACAAATCTTTGTCGCGAGTAAAGACGTCAAAAAAACTCATACTCTGTTTTTGACTAACAAAAGAAGCAATTATATCATCTGCTTCACAGTTAATTAGTTGCAGATAAGTAATACCAGTTTTTTCTAATAATTTTTTGAGTGCTTCTAACTGCTCTCATAATTCTTGCGACATACCTACCCGATGGGCTTTGTACTGGGAGAAAATCCTTTCCCGAAAATTAGTTCCACCACCATCAAAAACCACTAATAACTTTTGGTAGTTTCCTTTTTTGAGAACACTAATTAGTACCCGCAAAAAGAAAAATATCGTTCCATTTGGTATTTGCCAAGACATTTTTTGAGCGACATGATAAGAAGAATGGAGTAGATTATTACCATCGACTATTAAGAACTTTCCTTTCATATAAATGAATTTAAAATTAAATTAACACACTATTAGAGAAATTTTAGTAGTGAAGAAAATTAAAAATGCTAAAAAAAAGTTTAGATTTGGAATTAAGGTTGTGAAATGATTATCCACTAATTGCCGGAGTTGATGAAGCCGGACGTGGAGCCTTGGCTGGACCCATAATAGTGGCATCTGTTATTCTGCCAACTGGTTTCCAAAATCCCTTAATTCAAGACTCCAAAATACTTAGTCCCAGCCAAAGAAAAAAAGCGTTTCGGATAGTCAAAAAGAAAGCATTAGATTATAATATCATAGTCAAAGATGCTCGGGAGGTAGAAACAAAAAATCCACTTGGAGCAACCAAAGAAGCTATGGTCGAGACTATCCAAAATTTGAAAATTAAGCCCAATCTATGTCTGGTTGATGGCAAAGAAAAAATAGTGGTAGAAGGAATTAAAACAGTGAGCGTTGTTGGTGGTGACCGTAGGTCTATTGATATTGCCGCTGCTTCCATTATTGCCAAAGTGACCCGCGATACTATTATGCAAAAACTGCATAAAAAATATCCGCTCTATGACTGATTTGGCAACAAAGGCTATCCCAACAATATCCATTTA